ATCGCAGAACGAGGAGATAACTTATCTCTTTCATGAGATGGTAATAGAACTAGACAAGTACAACTAAATACACGAAGATGTGAATAAGAAGGATGACGTGATGTTAAATTTTCAAATGGTGATATGTCAAAAAGAACTGAAGAGGGTATCAAATTGATGAGATACATAGTTGTAGCAACAACATCAGCATCAGCCCAAAATTGTTTAGGCATGGAGCTAGAGATGAGTAATGATCTTGTAGTCTCCGTAATATGACGGTGTTTTCTTTCTGAAACACCATTTTGCTGATGTGCATAGGACTATGAAAGCTGTGAAAGAGTACCCTGATCAGCTAGAATACAACGAAACTCATGAGTGATTCACCACCAGAATCAGATCGAAAGCTTTTAATAGTAATGCCAAACTGGGTTTTGAACATAGTAGTGAAATCTTTATAAATTTGAGGTAGAGATGACCGGTGATGCATAAAATAAACCCAAGTGTTACGAGAAAAATCATTAATAAATATAACATAATATTTATTACCATTACAAGACGACAAGGGGGTTGGGCCCCAAACATTCGAATGAACGAATTGAAATGGGAAGCTACTTTGAGACTTGTTAAGAGGATAAAGTTCATTGACGTGTTTAGATAGTTTACATCCCATACAAGTAGACAGACTCGAAATAGGATAACTACCCAAAATGCCATTATTTGATGGAAAGCGAAGACGATCAGTAGATAAGTGACCTAATCGATGATGCCAAAGATCTCCTATGGGAAAAGCATCAGCGTGAGTGGTGACAGAGTGTACAGATGCAGAATGGGTGATAGAAGTGGATGGTAGTGTTAGATGATTCATAATGTAAAGTCCATTACGCTTATGTCCCTGACTAATTAAGGCTCCGGTCTGACGATCTTGCACATAACAAGAAGTAGAGTCAACAACTGCAATACAATTATGATCAATTATTTGACTAACTGAAAGTAAGTTCAATGAAAGATGTGGTATGTGTAAAACAGATGGAACAGATAAGTGACCAGTAATAGATCCCTTATGTGTAGCAGAGAAAGAAGAGCTATTTGCTGTAAAAACATTGACTTGAGAATGTAAAGGTGATGGAGGATAAAACAGATGCATGTGGAGTCATATGAAATGAAATACCAAGTCTAGTATCCAAATATTTTTCTGTATACCTGTGGGGCCAGAGATAGTGGAAAAAATATGAACAGAGGTACCTAATGGAGAGGGTGTAAGGACACTTGGATCATCAACCGGAGAGAAGATAGAGGTGTCATGCCCTTAAAGCATCTTGATCAATTGTGGCACAAAAAGAGTAACACTCGAAGTAGATTCCTCAGGAGCACCAGAGAAAACAACCGGGTTTGTAGAACACTCATCGGCAAAAGATTTAGCACCAGAAATTGTCACTGTAGCAGTCGATCATTGACGAGGATGTCGGTTTTTAGCTTGTTGTCGCTTAAAACAATTTTGGATGATATGTCCAGAACGACGACAATACCGACAATAATTATTCCTTGTTTATTAGAAGAGACTGATGGTGCTGAGACAGTGGCCGAAGATGACTGTGGTACAGATGGTTGTTGAGCAACCAGAGCACTTGAATAGAAGTAGTCTTTGTGTTTAGGACATGTTGGTGAGTCTCTTCAGTGATGAGTTCGGCCAAGGCATCATCAAGAGTTGGTAGTGGTGACCGATGAAGAATTTGACTACGCAATGACTCATACTCAGGTCGCTGACGCATCAAGAATTGAAATAGTCGATGTTGATCGCGAACACGACTCTGTTTGGTAGCACATGAACAAGTCGCACAAGTTTGACACAAAGGTTCCTCCATTATTGCAAGTTGGCACCATTGAGCATGCATAAAATTATAAAATTCTTAGATGGATCGCTCATCTTGTTGAGCAAAAGAGAGTTCTTGGTAGACAGAATATGAGTGGGCATGACTAGATTGTTGATAAAGTCTTTGTAATTGGCGTCACATGGCAAGTGCAGTCTGGAGACTAACAAACTGCATGTGGATATCAATCTCTACGAAGGAAGAAATAATGCAACGTGCTCGACGGTCTGCAAGAGCTCATGCCACTGTTTGCTTAGCATCAGCTCCAGATTTAGGAGGCGGCATGCCATCAATGTGGCTCGTGAGATCGAGAGCATCAAAAAGAAGTTGCACAGAAATCGACCACTCATGGTAATTGGTCCCTGTAAATTTCATATCAAGCTGAGAAAACCTCTCAATAAAGTTTGCAGCCATGTTTAAAGTAGAACTCGAAGGTTAGGATGGAACCCGAATGTTTAAAATAGAACCCGAAGGTTAAAAGAAACCCGAAGGTTAGGATGAAATCCGAAGGTTTAAAATAGAGCCCGAATGTTTGGATGAAACCCGAAGGTTTAAAATAGAACGAACCTGAAGGTTAAAATGAACTTGAAGGTTAGGATGGTCCCTGTTTTTTTAGTAGAATAATAGAATATATATTCAACTAGTGTTGCTCGTGCCTCTTCCTCCTCTCAAAAAGAAAAGCCCAACAAAAAGAAGAGCCCAACAAATTCTCTCTCTAAAAATCCAATAACCAGACCCAACAAAAAGAAAAGCCCAAACCTAATAAAAAAACACAAAAGCAGCAGCAGATGCCCAACAAATTCTCTCCCTAGCCTCCGATCTCACCTCTCAAGAACTCCTGCGTCGAATCTGAAGTAGATTCGAGCCTTTTCCGGAGTAGATCGATCCGAAGGCGATGTCTTCGGATCTGAATGGAGAATCTGACGGGGGCCGCAGCGGCGACTACAAGGGTCGGCAGATCTTCTACTCCAACTAATTTAATTGATCATTGTTTTGTTATTAATGTTGCTAAAATTGATGCAATACATAGATCATGTTAACCTTTCTTTAAAAAAATTACATAGTTTTGTCATGTCATCAACGGAGGTTAATGACATTGCTACGGTTTGGTCTCTTTTTTTAGGGGATGTTTGTTTCACCATTTTTATGGAAAAGGAATAGGATTTGGGTTTGACAATGGCAAAATTGTAAATAAACGATTCTTTATTAATCCTATTCTTGAGTTTGGTTCACCAAAAATTTATAGATTTCGGAATCTATAAAGTTAAGAAAGTATGGTGATTTTATAGAAACCAAAATCCTAATGATTTGGGCGGATTTGGGGCAGAAAGCTGACGCATCTGTACTATTCCCCCTCTCTTTTTTTTTGGGATTCCGTTTCTTCGCAAACCATATATTATTATGAGACCAAATCCTATTCTCATTCCAAACCAAACTAAAGAATAGGAATTGGAGTGTTTCTATAAAGTTTGATTCTATTTTTTCATGTTATGAAACAAACATATAAATGAAAAAAAGGATTCCATGACAACATAAAGTTGTCTTAAACTTTTTTATGGATTAGCTAGGAATCCATAGAAAATATGGGATTCCTAATCCTATTCTTGCCCACTATTGAACCAAACACCCCCTTAATAAAATTGAAATAGGGTTGTTTTCATATCTGAATTTGGAAATTAGAATATTTGAAGAAAAAATCCATCTTTTGTTGCAGAATAATTTCGTAATTTCTTGAAAAAGACTACATAATCATTTATAGCGATAAGATGCGGATACATAAAGGACATTTTTTTTCATGTGTTTCTATCTACTTCATATATATGTAACATTTTTTAGACATTTTTTTTATTTAAAAGTTAGCGATATATAATCTTTACGTTATTTTAAATTACAAAAATTGAACTTAAGAATAAAGCTTCTGTAATATATGTGCTTGTATATATGAAGTAATTTAATACAAAAATATTTAAAGTATATCACTTAGGTATCATGTATAAATAATTATTACCCAGTTTTGGCCATGCCATCAATCTTAGTAGTTGATGACATGGAAAACTTGATTTATTTTTTGTACATAAGTTTTAACATGGTTGCTTTCTTGGACAAATTTGAAATTTGAATTGTCTGAAAACATTGTCCTATTCTTATTCTTACTTATATTAGAGATGAACTACAATTTTGTATATATTGTAGTGGAGATTTAAGATTGAGAAGGCGTTGGTTAGGATGTAAACCCACCTAGCAATATTGTTTTATCTATAGTTTAGTGCTTTTATTTTTTTCGCTTTATTTGACAATCTTCCCTTCTCATTTATCATTGTACACTATTCAGGCAGATCCACATCCAAGACAGTGATGTCAAGTGGCATCACTTCCTTTGGTTCCTTTATTTAGTTGCTTGATTTCCATAGGGCCATACAAGCAAATGAAGCCCAGGTTAAATGAAATTCCTGTGTTGCAAATTCAGCCCGCAGCAATAAATAAAGAGAAAATGTTGGACCAACTTGAGATATAAACTAGTTGGACCAGGTCAAGGTTTAAAAAGAGTTCTCTTTATAAACTTAAGACTTTTCTGCTTATATACCCCATTGGTTAAAGTTAATTAAACTGCAGTTATGTATTGGACATAGTTACAAATGTTATATTTGATAGTGTTTTTAATGATGTCATTATGTATTGTTATCAAAATATGAGAACTAATTGGTGAGCGTTGTGTTAAATATTATTATGTTTTGACACCACTTTCCATAAATCATTTATCCACCACTGACTATTCCTATATATATGTATGTAGTAGGAATGACATTTTTCTACAAAATTGAATGCCTAGAACTTTGATACGCGTATTCGTTTATTTTGATAATTTTCTAGCTTTGGTTTAGGAACTAGTTTTTGCCAATTGTCTTTCCTCAATTTTAGTGATCATAATCTTTGACCTTCAATTTAAACATGACCTGCAATCTTAGATTTAAGAGTTAATTTCTAATGAAAATAATTGTTCTAAATATGTCCTCCTTCCTGGTTGGAATGTATGTGATTATGTGCTACTGTTTTGCGTCATGTTTTAACTTATTAATTACTTAGCCTATAGCATCTTATTTCTTTCTTTAATTTTTTTATTGGTACTCATTGTTTTCAGAAATATTGTAAAAAATGGGCTCACTCGATGGACTCCCTATCGATATCTTGCGACTGATAGTTGAAAAGATAGTTGGTCATGCAGATGTTATTCGGTTTGGTGCTGTTTCTAGGAAATTCCGCTCTTTTGTCATGGATAATATTCACTCACTTCCGTCGAAATTACCATTGTGCCTCTGTGTCCTGCCTAGTAAACCCCCTCCCCTGCCAATGCTAATGCAGTGTAATGACAACGAGTGGGAAAACATCAACTTCTTTTCTATTTCAGATGGGAAACGGCACGGGGAGTTTGTCGTGCCAGAAATAAGAAATAAGTGGCCTGTTGGATCCCGTTATGGTTGGTTGTTCACGGTTGATACACAAGGTCGAAGCATACAGCTGCTGAATCCGCTAACAAGGGCCCAAATCCCTCTCCCATCGCTTGACGCATTCGAACATCCCACTAGTTGGGTCAATTACGATGAACACACTGATTTCCGATTTGTTCTCAAGGGTGTCATATCATCAGATCCTTCAAATAAGAGGAGAAATTTGAATGGTGATGAAGATTGCATACTAGTGATTGCAATCATCACTATGTTTGAAGTGCTATCATTTTGTAGGGTCGGAGATGACAAGTGGACTAATGTAGAGGGTTCCCCCTTGTATATCAAAGATGTCATCTGGTACAAGGGTGAGGTTTATGCGGTTGATGAGTACGGGGTAGCTGTTGTTTACGATTTTGCAGGTGATAAGACGATCAAACAAATTGCATATTCACCGGACGATTTACTTGACTGTGAGAGGTATCTGGTTGTGTTGACAAATGGAGACTTGCTACAAGTTGTAAGAGAGAGAGAGTATGGTCAGATAAAGAAGAAGATGGCGTTGCCCGTGCTCTGATACCACTTGTTGTGACTGATGCTTTGAGAAACCAAACCAACGAACGCCGAGAGAAAGACCAAACAAAACACAAACACCAAGGTTTTACGTGGTTCGGCAAATTGCCTACGTCCACGGGGCAAGAAGGGGGTGGGTTTTCACTAATAGAGAAGGAGAGTACAAATTGAGATTACAAATCGCTCAAACGAACCAACTAATCTCACCAACAAATCTCTCAATCTCTCAACCAATAACCCTAACAAATAGCTCAGAAAGATCTCTCTTTTTCTGTGCTCCAAAACCCCAAAACTCTCCTCACAAAACCCTCAAATCGTATTGGTATTTATACCAAAACAGAAACCCAAACAGACTGCAAATAGGAACCTGAACTTTCCAAAAAACCCGTCATAAGTCGACTTATCAGTCTGCATAAGTCGACTTGGCAGAGCGAAAAACAGCAACTGGAGAAGAGATCATAAGTCGACTTATCAGACCTGATAAGTCGACTTGGCAGAGCAAAAAACCAACAATCCAGAGCAGAACGTAAGTCGACTCATGCACCAACATAAGTCGACTTACCATAAGTCGACTTATGCCTGTGCATGAGTCGACTTATGACCAAAAATCTGCTTTTTCCAATTCTTCTCCACAATTCTCCACCTCGGCGAAGTTTTCCCAAAACTGAGCCGACACCAACCAAACAAATGCCTCACATGCTGAGACCCAAATGAGAGTGTGAACACTCACCCCAAATGTCGATGTCGCTCACCAAATCGGCTGCATCAAAATGACTGCCTACGTATCCTTTGCCCAAGGAATCAAGCCTTCACGTAGTTCACCCAAACGGCCTCCAAAGGCCCTCAATCAAATAGAAAAGTCTGCAACTCTTCTCCAATATCACCAAACGATCTGCAACTGATAGTATTCCCAATGACCCCAAATTGAGACAAATCAAACACCTCCACCTGAGGTAAACCAATGGCCATATCCAAACTATATCTACCAGCTGCAACTGAATCCAAAACCAATCCATCATCTGCATCCAAAACCAAATGATCTCCAACCTGTGTCACCTTAGCTGGAATCCCAAATGACGCAGTATGATCTGGAGTATGTGGAGTAATCTCCACCCAACGTGGAGTAGCATCACTCTCCACCTGCTGCGATATCCAAATGACCTGATCAACACTCTCCACCTGCCGAGAGTCAAAAGTGACATACCTGCTCAGAACAAAATCAGAAGCTCCCAAACGATAATCAACTGAGCCTCCGAACCCCAAACGCGCAATCGGATCCAATCTCACATCCACGATGTGACCAAATGCTGGGTATCCAAATATCCGACGCGACCCAAAATCTGAAGCAGCTCCACCAGATCTAATAACTCCTAAAGCAGCAGTCGGCGACCTATGCATAAGATGACCCAAATATGTCGAAGCCCGCACACCAATGCCAATGCTCGACATCAAACGCCGATCCTCCTCCAGAAAGGAACGACCCATCGAAACTGTCATCTCATCTCGTCGCCCCAAAGTCTCCACACCAATGAAGTGTCTCCTATTGCCGTGAGCTCGGCACCAACGCAAGAAAGGACCCCTACCAAAGCTGAAACAATGAGTTACCTTTCTGCCAATACACTTCTTCCAATTGTTGTTGACTTCTAGGACTTTACACCAACGGGAACTGGTCGCGACCCAATAATGCCTAGAACAATCACCAACTGTGGAAACCAAGATACGATTACCTCCCAATGATGCCTCCTTGGAAGGCCCCCAAATGCCTGACTGAACACCTCCAAAAAGACCCCTCGCTCGATGGATAGAAGTGCCAAACTCCACCACGGTCTCGCTCATCCTAATGTGCTCACAGGACTTCAATCTGCAGGTCATAGCACTCCTCAACAACCAATGCACGGTATTACCAATCATATACCCCAGCACCAAACAATGCCACAGTCTAGCCGAATCTGATGAAGTCGTCATTTCCCTATCAATCACCGTGCTTCCGTGCAAATAATACAAATTTCTTCTTCTGACGCCCTTCATCACAATCATGGACCCAAATGTAACCTTCAAGCGTGCATCCGCCAAGGTCACCCTATAGCCAGCTGCCTCCAAAGCTCCAAGTGAAATGATGTTCTTCTTCAACTGAGGAACGAACCTCACTCCAACCAACTCCCGAATCACCCCGTCACTCATCCTGATCCGAACAGTACCAATACCACCAATAGAGCATTTGTGATCATTCCCCATGAGCACGAAATCCCCTCTTTCCAACTCCTGAAAGCTGGAGAACCAATCCCTCCTAGGGCAAATGTGGTATGTAGCACCCGAATCCAATATCCACTCTGTAGAGTAGGCAACACAAACTGACGGCAGTGCAGATAACGAGTAGCCCGAAGAATCCGAATCTGAATCGTTGCCACTAGCCTTGACAACATTCGCCTCTGAAGCTTGAATAGCTTTTCCCTTATTCTTCCCGGCTCGATCAACTAACTTTGGGCAATCGGCTTTCCAATGTCCATCTTCTTTGCAAAAGGCACATTGATTCTTACGAACTCCAAGATGTGCCCCTCTAGACTGCGACCTCCCACTACGGTTTGGACCCTTTGCTCTTGCGACCAACGCCCCCGCTACCGGCTCAAACGAAGTCTCCTTATCCTTCTTTCGAAGCTGATAATTCACAAGTGCAGCGGTGACCTCACTATACGAAAGAGATGCCTTCCCATTAATAAGAGTAAGAACGAAGGTCTCATATTCCTCGTCAGGCAAGGAACTCAATAGCAACAACGCCTTGTCCTCATCTTCAATCTTAACATCCACATTCGCCAAATCCGCAAGAAGCTTCGTGTAGTGGTTCATGTGATCACCAATGGAGGTTCCTTTCTTCAACTGGAAGCGGTAAAGCCTCCTCTTCAAATGCAAGCGATTCTCCACACTCTTGGTCAAATACTTGCTCTCAAGGATCTCCCAAATCTTCTTTGCAGAAGTCTCATTGATCACATCATACTTTAGATCTTGAGTGAGACAAGACCTAATCACACCACACGCCGTTCGATTCATCTTTTTCCAAACCTTCTCATCAATGTTGTCCGGTTTCCCGTCCAACTCCAACGTATCTTCCAAATTTTGCGCGTTGAGCGCATCCATGACTTCGCATCGCCAAAGTCCAAAATTGTTTGTGCCATTGAACTTTTCCACATCAATCTTCATTGAGTGGATATTCAAGCTTTGGACGGTCTTCACGCCGGAAGTACTGCCCACAACTCCTTCTTTCTCGGCCATAATCCTCAAGGCACCACCAAACCAATGCGGAAACAAACGAGAAATAGATCCAAACTGAAAAAGACGAGATTTTTACAAAAAAAGATCCCACCTTTATCACCAAACGAAGCCCTAGATGAACTTCCAAAGCGATCTACTCCTCCAAATAGCCCAAGCGTTGCCCGTGCTCTGATACCACTTGTTGCGACTGATGCTTTGAGAAACCAAACCAACGAACGCCGAGAGAAAGACCAAACAAAACACAAACACCAAGGTTTTACGTGGTTCGGCAAATTGCCTACGTCCACGGGGCAAGAAGGGGGTGGGTTTTCACTAATAGAGAAGGAGAGTACAAATTGAGATTACAAATCGCTCAAACGAACCAACTAATCTCACCAACAAATCTCTCAATCTCTCAACCAATAACCCTAACAAATAGCTCAGAAAGATCTCTCTTTTTCTGTGCTCCAAAACCCCAAAATTCTCCACACAAAACCCTCAAATCGTATTGGTATTTATACCAAAACAGAAACCCAAACAGACTGCAAATAGGAACCTGAACTTTCCAAAAAACCCGTCATAAGTCGACTTATCAGTCTGCATAAGTCGACTTGGCAGAGCGAAAAACAGCAACTGGAGAAGAGATCATAAGTCGACTTATCAGACCTGATAAGTCGACTTGGCAGAGCAAAAAACCAACAATCCAGAGCAGAACGTAAGTCGACTCATGCACCAACATAAGTCGACTTACCATAAGTCGACTTATGCCTGTGCATGAGTCGACTTATGACCAAAAATCTGCTTTTTCCAATTCTTCTCCACAGCCTGAAGGTGTTGGCTACTCCACCCTCAAAACTTGGAACACCACCCTTGACCGCAGAATCCCAACTAACCACAAATTCAAGTTTAAATGGGTTGAGATGGAAAACTTGGGAGATCACGCGATATTCGTGGGTCAGAACTACTCATTTTGTGTGCCTGCAGGTGAATACCAAGGATGCAAGCCAAATTGCATATATTTTACAGATCATGGAGGGCTCCATAGCATCATTGCAAGGGGAAATTTGGACCAGGAGAAGATCCATGAATACTCTGCTTGTGACATGGCCATTTATAACTTCAAAGATAAGTATTTTGAAGAGTTTACCCAACTAAATGACAGGTATCATGTCCCGCCCATTTGGATCACTCCAAACCCATGGTAGATAGATGTATTGTTCGTTATTTCGATCTTGTTTCCGATATGTGAGGTTTTTATTTATAGGGTGTGGCCAATTCAGTCAGGTACCTTAATATGTTTATGCAGTGTGTGGTTAATTTAGTCAAGTGCATTACTCTGTATGTGAGATTTTTATATATGCAGTATGGTTAATTTATTTAAGTACATTACTCTTGTCTATTTTTAGTCATATGCTCTCAGATTGTTAAACATTTGCAGGACCTGAAAACTAGTTACTAGTTACGTTGAAGATAGAATTGGTAGAGGAAACCAATCCTCAGACTCGGGTAATATGCTTACGTTTATAGGCAGAAGTGATCCAACAATTTTTTAACTCAATTCAATTTTATTTTATTTCATTATATTTTTATGTAAATATATATTCAAAATGAGCGCTTCCGGAGTCTATCTACGAGAACTGGAAGGATACAAGGGTTTTAATATTTTGTCGGTCATGACAAAAGAAGAAACAAGTTCAAATATTTGGCGTATAATTGTAGGTTTATAGTTAATACTTGGGGTGATAATTGGCAATTTGT